TAATTATATATATATTTCATATACATTTGTAATAATTAAAACTATATAATGAGGCTAGATATTATATTTATTCACCATATTAACATTGTATTACGGTAGAATAGACGTAAACAATTTCAATATTATTATTCTTATCCATTACCAAATTTTAGGTTACTTCATCACTAAGAAACTAAGTTAAAAGACTATAGTAAATCACATATATTTCATATACGTTCGTAATAATTAAAACTATATAATGAGGTTAGATAGTAAATTTATTCACCATATTCACCTTATATTATGGTATAATAGATGTAAACAATTTCAATATTATTCTTCTTATCCATCACCAAATTTTAGGTTATTTCATCACTAAGAAACTAAGTTAAAAGACTATTAATTAATGATATATATATTTCATATACATTTGTAATAATTAAAACTATATAATGAGGCTAGATATTATATTTATTCACCATATTAACATTGTATTACGGTATAATAGACGTAAACAATTTCAATATTATTATTCTTATCCATTACCAAATTTTAGGTTATTTCATCACTAAGAAATTAAGTTAAAAGACTATAGTAAATGACATATATTTCATATACGTTCGTAATAATTAAAACTATATAATGAGGTTAGATAGTAAATTTATTCACCATATTCACATTATATTATGGTATATTAGATGTAAACAATTTCAATATTATTCTTCTTATCCATCACCAAATTTTAGGTTACTTCATCACTAAGAAACTAAGTTAAAAGACTATTAATCAATGACATATATTTCATATACGCTCGTAATAGTTAAAACTATATAATGAGGTTAGATAGTAAATTTATTAACCATATTCACATTGTATTATGGTATAATACATGTAAACAATTTCAATATTAATCTTCTTATCCATCACCAAATTTTAGGTTACTTCATCACTAAGAAACTAAGTTGAAAGACACCAAATTAACTATATATATTTCATATACGTTCGTAATAATTAAAACTATATAATGAGGTTAGATATTAAATTTATTCACCATATTCACATTATATTATGGTATAATAGATGTAAACAATTTCAATATTATTCTTCTTATCCATCACCAAATTTTAGGTTACTTCATCACTAAGAAACTAAGTTAAAAGATTATTAATTTATGACATATATTTCATATACGTTCATAATAATTAAAACTATATAATTAGGTTAGATAGTAAATTTACTCACCATATTCACATTGTATTATGGTATAATAGATGTAAACAATATCAATATTATTCTTCATATCCATCACCAAATTATAGGTTACTTCATCACTAAGAAACTAAGTTAAAAGACTATTAATTAATGACATATATTTCATATAAGTTCGTAATAATTAAATCTATATAATGAGGTTAGATAGTAAATTTATTCACCATATTCACATTGTATTATGGTATAATACATGTAAACAATTTCAATATTATTCATCTTATCCATCACCAAATTTTAGGTTACTTTATCACTAAGAAACTAAGTTAAAAGACTATTAATTTATGACTTATATTTCATATACGTTCATAATAATTAAAACTATATAATGAGGTTAGATAGTAAATTTATTCACCATATTCACATTGTATTATGGTACAATAGATGTAAACAATTTCAATATTATTCTTCTTATCCATCACCAAATTTTAGGTTAATTCATCACTAAGAAACTAAGTTAAAAGATTATTAATTTATGATATATATTTCATATACATTTGTAATAATTTAAACTATATAATGAGGCTAGATAGTATATTTATTCACCTTATTCACATTGTATTATGGTATAATAGATGTAAACAATTTCAATATTATTTTTGTTATCCATCACCAAATTTTAGGTTACTTCATCACTAAGAAACTAAGTTAAAAGACTATTAATTAATGACATATATTTCATATACGTCCGTAATAGTTAAAACTATATAATGAGGTTAGATAGTAAATTTATTCACTACATTCACATAGTATTATGGTATAATAGATGTAAACAATTTCAATATTATTATTCTTATCCATTACCAAATTTTAGGTTACTTTATCACTAAGAAACTAAGTTAAATGACTATTAATTTATGACTTATATTTCATATACGTTCATAATAATTAAAACTATATAATGAGGTTAGATAGTAAATTTATTCGCCATATTCACATTGTATTATGGTATAATAGATGTAAACAATTTCAATATTATTCTTCTTATCCATCACCAAATTTTAGGTTACTTCATCACTAAGAAACTAAGTTAAAAGACTATAAATTAATGACATATATTACATATACGTTCGTAATAATTAAAACTATATAATGAGGCTAGATAGTATATTTATTCACCATATTCACATTGTATTATGGTATAATAGATGTAAACAATTTCAATATTATTCTTCTTATCCATCACCGAATTTTAGGTTACTTTATCACTAAGAAACTAAGTAAAAAGACTATTAATTAATGATATGTATTTCATATACATTTGTAATAATTAAAACTATATAATGAGGCTAGATAGTATATTTATTCACCATATTCACATTGTATTAAGGTATAATAGATGTAAACAATTTCAATATTATGCTTCTTATCCATCACCAAATTTTAGGTTATTTCATTACTAAGAAACTAAGTTAAAAGACTATTAATTAATGATATATATTTCAAATACATTTGTAATAAATAAAACTATATAATGAGGCTAGATATTATATTTATTCACCATATTAACATTGTATTACAGTATAATAGACGTAAACAATTTCAATATTATTATTCTTATCCATTACCAAATTTTAGGTTACTTCATCACTAAGAAACTAAGTTAAAAGACTATAGTAAATCACATATATTTCATATACGTTCGTAATAATTAAAACTATATAATGAAGTTAGATAGTAAATTTATTCACCATATTCACCTTATATTATGGTATAATAGATGTAAACAATTTCAATATTATTCTTCTTATCCATCACCAAATTTTAGGTTACTTCATCACTAAGAAACTAAGTTAAAAGACTATTAATTAATGACATATATTTCATATACGTTCGTAATAATTAAAACTATATAATGAGGCTAGATAGTATATTTATGCACCATATTCACATTGTATTATGGTATAATAGATGGAAACAATTTCAATATTCTTCTTCTTATCCATCACCAAATTTTAGCATCACTAAGAAACTAAGTTAAAAGACTATTAATCAATAACATATATTTCATATACGCTCGTAATAGTTAAAACTATATAATGAGGTTAGATTGTAAATTTATTCACCATATTCTCATTGTATTATGGTATAATACATGTAAACAATTTCAATATTATTATTCTTATTCATAACCAAATTTTAGGTTACTTCATCACTAAGAAACTAATTAGAAAGACACCAAATTAACTATATATATTTCTTATACGTTCGTAATAATTAAAACTATATAATGAGGCTAGATAGTATATTTATTCACCATATTCACGTTGTATTATGTTATAATAGATGTTAATAATTTCAATATTATTCTTCTTATCCATCACCAAATTTTAGGTTACTTCATCACTAAGAAACTAAGTTAAAAGATTATTAATTTATGACATATATTTCATATACGTTCATAATAATTAAAATTATATAATTAGGTTAGATAGTAAAATTATTCACCATATTCACATTGTATTATGGTATAATAGATGTAAACAATATCGATATTCTTCTTCTTATCCATCACCAAATTTTAGGTTACTTCATCACTATGAAACTAAGTTAAAAGACTATTAATTAATGACATATATTTCATATACGTTCGTAATAATTAAAAGTATATAATGAGGTTAGATAGTAAATTTATTCACCCACTACGCCAAATAAGCTATTTAATAGCGCTTTTTTTTGTTTTTGATAGCGCTTAAAAGTGCTATTAACCGCGCCACTATTGTAAATATTTCTTATTTAATAGCACTTTAAAAGCGCTATTAAAGTACCAATTTATAATAGCGTTTTAATTAAAGTGCTATCAAAGTCAGTATTTTGCATGTTTTTTGTTTGTTTTTTTATAGCACTCTAAATAAAAAGCGCTAATATATAACATATGTTTGATAGCGCTTTCAAATAAAGTGCTAATAAATGATACATATTTGGTACAATATTTTTAATAAGTACAGTACAATATTTTTTCTTACACAATCATTTTTTTTGGTGTAAATATAAAATAACTATATTCAATTCAACACAAATAACGCTTTAAGTTACTCATTGCATATATATTATGATCCATCAAATACCAAATAACATTTTAAATTACCAAATCCTATTGTTTCCAAATATCATAACATATAGAATATTAAGAGGGCGTTTGCATAGCCAAATTTGTAGATGCCCATCTATGAGTACTTCAATCCAAATCCAAAAACATACAATGAAATTCTCTAAACAAAACACCAAAAAAATAAGAAAGGATAACAAAACAATCCCATGTAGTAACCACCTTCATGATCCAAAAGCGTTGAACTCATAGATACAATCACTAATTAGGCAAAATAATTGCTTCTTGTTTTCCTGTATCATAGAAGGAATATTGATTATGTATTGTACAATAAAAACTAATTCAACATATAAAGAATAATCAAACATTTAATATGGGTCTAACAAGAAGCGCCAACTCTAGGAGACTCTTCGATTTTGAATTTTTTGTTACTTTTGTTGGGTGATGAAACTGAATATTCAACACTGTGTTGAATATTGTTACCTTTGTTTTGGGATTGACCAGGAATCTAAAAAGTTGTATTAATTAATATTAGTGATCAAATAATAAAACAAGTAGCGATCAAGCAACTTGATTATAAGTAATTTACCTTTTCACATTCAGCAACAAATTCAAGAAGTTTCGTTGGCCATGGCACAATTGTTCCTATTGCTTGGCCATGGATACATCTCCATCTTCAACAGATATAGGCAATGGGGCCTTATCATCGATGCGGTTGGTTGCACATCTGGCATGCAGTGGCAGATCTGACATTCGCATAGGTACATTGCTCACAAGACCAATGATTATCATCAGTAATTCTGCTGGACATGCTAGCTCGAACCGTCCCCTTTCCTCTTCCGCCTCTTCCCTTGCTGCTCCCTGCAGCATTTTTTGAACCCGTTGCTTTACTGGAAGCAGCTCCATTGCTATCCACATCGCATAAACCATTCTCTAATGCCCTAACCAAATTCTCAAAGTAGTTTCTAGTCACACTGCAAAAACAAATGAATTAGAAAATTAAACCATACAATTTGGGCACCATAATTATTCATTAGCTATGTCATTATTATACTATTCATTGGTATATAACTGCATGCTGAAACAAATTGTCACACCAACAGAACCAATAGATGGTAAACATTCTAAAACATGAATAGAAAAGCAAACAAAACAACATGCCAAACATATGAATTTCATCAAATGCACGATAGGTATGAATCATGATGTACAAAATGCATATATTTCCATTACAAGATTCCATCTCGAGATGTAATAGCAGATTTACCATTTCTAATTCAAAACAAATGTACAAAGTATGTCTCTTTTCAGCAAACTTGAGGAAAATATATCAAATATGAAGTCAAACTCCAATCAGAACAAAAAAAGTAAATAAAAAAATGGGCAAATTCTGAACAAAAACAATAATAAGTAATAACATTAACCTGGTCAATCCAGCTAGCTTTGTGCGAAAATCATTGAAATCTTTAGATGGGCCATCACCATTGAGGAATACTTGGAGTTCCTTTTCGGCACATTGATGAAGTCTCTCTAAACCTGATTCAGCCTCACCTGAAGATAAAGAAATTGAATAATTTATTTCAAGGAAATCACCCAAAATGCAAGACATCTAATCAAATTGAAATTGACAACAAAAAAACCTTGCAAGTACTCAAAGAACTGCTTTTTCGCATGCTCATGCTCCGCTAAATAGAATCCATATGCATATGTCCACTTTAATACCCGCCTGCACTCAACTATCTGCAGAGGTGATACAGAATTTAGAGAGATATTAGACGTCTATTTTACAACAGTCAAAGACATTTCACATCACCCAGCTTCAGAAAATAGTTTAATGAAAAACTTCATTTGTGTCCTTGGGAGAGGGTTATGAAAATATGACTACACAACAGTCTAAGAAATGTGTAAGGCAAATTTATCACCCAGGTCATCAAACAGGGATTTGAGACATGCATCATAAAACTAATTTTTTAATTGTGATACACAAATCATACCAAATCATAAAGTCTGGAAAGGACAAGAAAAATAGCATGAAACATATTAAATAAATTATGCACTGTTGAAGCTAAATTATCGATGTGAGATGAGTCACCTAATCTACGGATAGTGTTCTCGAAACATGTCAAAATTCAGCAGGAAAAGAAAATTTCATAAGGAATGACATTTGATGAAAACTAGTAGCTAGCATGATTGTTAATAAAAAATTGCGAGGCATCAACGCAGGGCAAATATTTCAACCGAGTAATACCGGTTAGTTAAATCAAACCAAAACTCGATCAAGATGTTTCACACCAGCTGAATGCCGTTCCTACCATCTGCAAGATTCAGTTTTTCCTCATAAAGCTTTATGAGATCAGAAGAATGCTCCTCAAAGCCTTTCACAAACTTCTCCACAAACAACTTCTCAGATACAACAAACGGCGTATACACGCCTGCATCCTTCCGTCGCAAGCCTTTCGAGATAAGAAACTGCACAGCCGAAGCTCTAGGAATAATCCTCTTCTCGAGACTGCATTGAAGAATTCCAGGAGCTCTGGCAAGGTCCAAAGAATCCAAACCTAGGTGGTGAACCCAAAAATCCATGATTGCATTGATTTTCCGAGGCGATACCAGCATACAGAAAGGATGCTTCTTAAATGTTTCAAGAATCTGTTCATCAGACCAGCCCCATTTCTTAAAGGTTTCAACTTTCTCATCCCACTGTGCTTTAGTGGCACTTCTCTTCGCGAGAAATGCCTTACTAAAAGCGGAAGTGGAGCCATCGAAACCGAGTTCTTTCAGTTCTTCAACAGTGTGCAACAAATCAAATGAGAAAATTATACTAGGCCACCAATGAAACAGCCTAGCAATATTAGAGTGAGAAACTCCATTATCAAGCAACAATTTGACATTTTCAGGCAGCCCACTTTGACAAAGAAACAAAAATGTTTAACACAAGCAATGGTTTTTTTTGTCAGATTGAAGAAACCCTTTTGCACATTGATATGCAGGGAACTATATGATTCTCTAAGCTTCTTCTAAGAAGTCTAGGGCTTGAATTAACAATACGAACAATATCAGAGGAAGAAGCGCCTTTGGAAAGTAAAAATTGAAACTTTGGTAAAAGAACCTTGTTGGGGGTCGCATGAGAGTAGCCAGGGTTCACGTCTGATGATGTCGCGGAGTTGGGAGATGGAGAAGCCGTGGGTAGTGAAGAAGGCGAGAATTGAATCGGGATTTTTTGGGAGTTGGAGAGAGTGAGATTTTGGAAAGCTTTGGAAGCGGTTTCTGGGGAGAAGCCGCAGTTCGTTGATGAGGTAAGAGACGGTGAAAAATTGTGGGTTAGTGGTGGAAATGGAGAAGAATTTGAAAAGGGTTTTTGGTATAGGAGAAGGAGAAGAAGATGGTGTTGTGAGTAGGAGGAAAATGTTTTTGTTTTTGGCGGTGAGTGGATGCGGGAAACCCAATTTTCTGAAAATGTGTTTTGTTTTTTTTTTTATCAATTAATTAATTAATTTATTATTATATATAACATAGCGCTTTTTAATAAATGCTATTATATAGGTAGTCAAATAATAGCGTTTTATACAAAATGCTATCTTAAAGAAGTTTAATAATAGCGTTCTGGTACAAAGTGCTATCATAATTACATAGTCTGTATATTATAATAGCGCCCGATTAAAAAGTGCTATTATAAATGTGTTTTTTCCATTTTAATAGCATTTTTTTTAAAAGTGCTATTAAATTAGGTGATACAAAAAATAATTTTTGGCGTAGTGACCATATTCACATTATATTATGGTATAATAGATGTAAACAATTTCAATATTATTCTTCTTATCCATCACAATTTTAGGTTACTTCATCACTAAGAAACTAAGTTAAAAGACCATTAATTAATGACATATATTTCATATACGTTCGTAATAATTAAAACTATATAATGAGGCTAGATAGTATATTTATTCACCATATTCACATTGTATTATGGTATAATAGATGGAAACAATTTCAATATTATTCTTCTTATCCATCACCAAATTTTAGCATCACTAAGAAACTAAGTTAAAAGACTATTAATCAATGACATATATTTCATATACGCTCGTAATAGTTAAAACTATATAATGAGGTTAGATTGTAAATTTATTCACCATATTCACATTGTATTATGGGATAATACATGTAAACAATTTCAATATTATTATTCTTATTCATAACCAAATTTTAGGTTACTTCATCACTAAGAAACTAATTAGAAAGACACCAAATTAACTATATATATTTCATATACGTTCGTAATAATTAAAACTATATAATGAGGCTAGATAGTATATTTATTCACCATATTCACGTTGTATTATGTTATAATAGATGTAAATAATTTCAATATTATTCTTCTTATCCATCACCAAATTTAGGTTACTTCATCACTAAGAAACTAAGTTAAAAGATTATTAATTTATGACATATATTTCATATACGTTCATAATAATTAAAACTATATAATTAGGTTAGATAGTAAAATTATTCACCATATTCACATTGTATTATGGTATAATAGATGTAAATAATATCGATATTCTTCTTCTTATCCATCACCAAATTTTAGGTTACTTCATCACTAAGAAACTAAGTTAAAAGACTATTACAAAATGACATATATTTCATATACGTTCGTAATAATTAAAACTATATAATGAGGTTAGATAGTAAATTTATTAACCATATTCACATTATATTATGGTATAATAGATGTCAACAATATCAATATTATTCTTCTTATCCATCACCAAATTTTAGGTTACTTCATCACTAAGAAACTAAGTTAAAAGACTATTAATTAATGACATTTATTTCATATACATTCGTAATAATTAAAACTATATAATGAGGCTAGATAGTATATTTATTCACCATATTCACATTGTATTATGGTATAATAGATGTAAACAATTTCATATTATTCTTGTTATCCATCACCAAATTTTAGCATCACTAAGAAACTAAGTTAAAAGACTATTAATTAATGACATATATTTCATATACGTCCGTAATAGTTAAAAACTATATAATGAGGTTAGATAGTAAATTTATTCACTATATTCACATTGTATTATGGTATAATAGATGTAAACAATTTTAATATTATTATTCTTATCCATTACCAAATTTTAGGTTACTTCATCACTAAGAAACTAAGTTAAAAGACTATTAATTTATGACTTATATTTCATATACGTTCATAATAATTAAAAACTATATAATGAGTTAGATAGTAAATTTATTCACCATATTCACATTGTATTATGGTATAATAGATGTAAACAATTTCAATATTATTCTTCTTATCCATCACCAAATTTTAGGTTACTTCATCACTAAGAAACTAAGTTAAAAGACTATAAATTAATGACATATATTACATATACGTTCGTAATAATTAAAACTATATAATGAGGCTAGATATTATATTTATTCACCATATTAACATTGTATTATGGTATAATAGACGTAAACAATTTCAATATTATTATTCTTATCCATTACCAAATTTTAGGTTACTTCATCACTAAGAAAACTAAGTTAAAAGACTATAGTAAATCACATATATTTCATATACGTTCGTAATAATTAAAACTATATAATGAGGTTAGATAGTAAATTTATTCACCATATTCACCTTATATTATGGTATAATAGATGTAAACAATTTCAATATTATTCTTCTTATCCATCACCAAATTTTAGGTTACTTCATCACTAAGAAACTAAGTTAAAAGACTATTAATTAATGACATATATTTCATATACGTTCGTAATAATTAAAACTATATAATGAGGCTAGATAGTATATTTTGTCACCATATTCACATTGTATTATGGTATAATAGATGGAAACAATTTAAATATTATTCTTCTTATCTATCACCAAATTTTAGCATCACTAAGAAACTGAGTTAAAAGACTATTAATCAATAACATATATTTCATATACGCTCGTAATAGTTAAAACTATATAATGAGGTTAGATTGTAAATTTATTCACCATATTCACATTGTATTATGGTATAATACATGTAAACAATTTCAATATTATTATTCTTATTCATAACCAAATTTTAGGTTACTTTATCACTAAGAAACTAAGTTAAAAGATTATTAATTTATGACATATATTTCATATACGTTCATAATAATTAAAACTATATAATTAGGTTAGATAGTAAAATTATTCACCATATTCACATTGTATTATGGTATAATAGATGTAAACAATATCGATATTCTTCTTCTTATCCATCACCAAATTTTAGGGTTACTTCATCACTATGAAACTAAGTTAAAAGACTATTAGTTAATGATATATATGTTATATACATTCGTAATAACTAAAACTACATAATGAGGTTAGATAGTAATTTATTCACCATATTCACATTGTGTTGTGGTATAATACATGTAAACAATTTCAATATTATTCTTCTTATCATCACCAAAGTTTAGGTTACTTCATCACTAAGAAACTAAGTTATAAAACTATTATCTTATGACATATATGTCGTATACGTTCACAATAATTCAAATTATATATTAAGGATAAATAGTAAGTTTATTCACCATATTCACATTGTATTACGGTATAATACATGTAAACAATTTCAATATTATTCTTCTTATCCATCATTAAATTTTAGCATCACTAAGAAACTAAGTTAAAAGACTATTAATTAATGACATATATTTCATATACGTTCGTAATAGTTAAAACTATATAATGAGGTTAGATAGTAAATTTATTCACCATATTCACATTGTATTATGGTATAATAGATGTAAACAATTTCAATATTATTATTCTTATCCATTACCAAATTTTAGGTTACTTTATCACTAAGAAACTAAGTTAAAAGACTATTAATTTATGACTTATATTTCATATACGTTCATAATAATTAAAACTATATAATGAGGTTAGATAGTATATTTATTCACCATATTCACATTGTATTATGGTATAATAGATGTAAACAATTTCAATATTATTCTTCTTATCCAT